GGTGCACGTGCGACGCGGGAGGCACATGTGAACGGTCCAGGCCTGCGCCAGCCCTGGGGAACGCGGAGGACGCGCTAATTAATTAGCGCGATGTTAAGGAGGGGCTGAGGAGCTCGGCCCTGCGCCTTCTCCGCAGCCTGGCACCCCGGTTCCTCCAATTTCCGGGCTTCCCACGTGCGGGCCCACGGTCAGGCTGCTGCTGCTGCCCCACCGGAGGTGTTGGTGTGTGCAGGCAGCGCTCGTGCCGGCTTCCAGCAAAACAAAACACTTCAGGGGAGGATTGAGCCCCATTTTCCCAGCACAACCACCTGGTTGCAGCCCCCTGAGACCTGATGGGTTTAGACTCGACCATGAATCGTGCTGGAACGTGAACATGGTTTCCCTTCCTTGGGGTCGGGGCTGTGTGGATACACCTCACTTTCCCACCGAGCTGACTCGCTGGGGGCTCAGAGGGTCCTGGTGCTGATCTGCTGGATGGTGTGGAAATATCCCACACACATAGTTTGGGGAAATAGTGCTGGTAACACCTCCTTGTGCTGTAGTGGGACCTCCAATTGAAATACTGTCAGGAGGGACCTGGGGAAATAAAGGAAAGATAAACCAAGTCTGCTGAGAGTACGGATTTCCATAGGGGTGCCAGTTTACAACTGCTGATTCATTGGTGATGACTGACAGAGGCAGCTGGTGGGCAGCAAATTTTGCTCTTTTGTAAAAATAAGGAGCTGGGAAAGGTGGCTTAGATGTGCCAAGAAGTATAAAACGTGGTATGTGTGTATAGATGCGTGTATACATACCCAAATTCCTGCTTCAGAGGGAGCTTAAGAACAGTGTGGGGTATCAGGGTAGGTGTGCCTCCAAGCCCTGAGAGTAAACTGCTTGTCTTTCTTCACGTAAACCACGCAAATGCCCGTTCTGAAAAGCCATGGGACGTTTTCTCTGGGACACAGTCACGGGGCGATTTCAGTACGATCCTGGCAAGGACGCAGATAGAGAGTATGAAGAGTAAAGGCTCCTCAAGAGACATGAGGTGGCTGGGAGTGGTCTGGTCTCACTGCTCTTTTTTTCTCTTTTTTTTCCCTTCTCCCACCCCTCTCCCTGTTTCCTGTCCCAGCTTGTGAACACCTTCTTTAGTTTCCTGAGGCGTAAAACGGATTTCTTCACTGGTGGAGAAGACGGAGTGGCAGAGAAGGTAAAACCCCCAAATTCTCAAGCTTTTATGTCTCTTAACTTACACGCCACATGTGTCTGTGCCATGCTGAGGCCTCCCTGCCTGCCCAGCTCAAAAGGATTACGGTGCACTTGGGGCCTAGCAGCCCGCCGTGCTGATGAAACGCATCACTGAAAGGAGGTAATAACCTCACCCCTATCTGAGGCGAGGCACACGATTGCTTGTTCCCGTGGTACCGACGGCGCGGGTTTTTTGCCACGCTCTGGCCAAAGGCTTGTTTGGAAAGCAAATCTGCCAGACACAGTGACTTAACGGTGACAGACACGGCAGCGTTGATAACCTCAGGTTACCTTGTTTGTTCATCTCGGAGAAAGCGCAAAGTCCGCCTTCTCTGCACATGCGGCTGTACCTTGGTCTTAGGGCTGTGGTACCTGTACGCAGCGAGCCTGGGTAGCTGGGCGGCCTCGTTGGCAACCTGAGCATCTCCTCTCCACCAGGTATTCCCCACCCAGCGCGAGGGCTGAAAAACGAAGTTGTTTCAGCGTAGGGAAATAAGAACCGGAACACTCAAAGATGAACTGAAGGTTTCTTGTTTGTACTTACCAGCAGAGCAGCTGTTCCCCTTCCGGGGTTGCTGGAACTCCACCAGCAAAGCAGGCACTGCTGCCCTGTCGAATGTGTTGGGTGGACGTAGCTGCTAACAGTGTGTAACCTACTCTGTCTGGTCTCTAAAGTGGCAAAACTGAGGCAGGTAAGGGAAAAGGAGATGGTTTCAAAGTATGAAAGATGAAGCCTGCTGCTGTTTTCCTTGGACTAGAGAGCAAAACTCCTCAAATTCCTGGGATCCCTGTGCTCCCAGGGAGTGAAACCTTGGGTTTCACCACCACTGGCTGGTGCCTTTGGAGGGTCTGTTGGCAATTCCATAGCAAATCCATGGCTGTAAAAGAAGAGTGTTTGTCTCCTTGGGTGGTATCTGTTAAAATGCTTTTGAAAAGGTGCTCAAGACGGAGTCTCTGGCACCATAGTAACCACCCGAAAAATTGAAGAAGCTGCTTCCCCAGCCCTGCTCATCCTTTGGCACCCAAGAGAAAGAGGAAAGGGTAGGAAAAGACGTGTGGTGGTACGCTGAGAGTGGTGCTGTGTGTGCACACTGACAAGCTCGAGCAGTGTCAAGTGGATCATCGTGCGGTCGGGAACAGGCAGGGAGCTGCATGTCTTGAATTCTGTATCCTAGGAGACACTGGACTCGTGCTGTGTAAAGAAACCTTGCTTTCCCCTTTGAAACAAAGCAGAAATAATTGGTGGGTGGTTACAAAACTACAAGGTGTGGATACTTTGAGTTGCTCTGGAAAGATGCTGCTTCCCCCATGAAGTTTCTGGGATATTGATAAACCAGTACCTGCAATTTCTCCAGCCTGATTCCTTTTCTCAGGTTCTGTCTCTCTCGTTTTTCCGGAGCAGACTGCAGTTCTCATACGTGCTGCTTCGCACAACGCTGCTGGCGTTATCGACCGCGGGGCAGTCGCTCTGGCTTCCTGCCTGTGTACTCGGCTTTCCCTCTGAGCAGGAAGCCGTTGGCATCAGGGACCTTGGGATTTTGGTGTCCGTAGCCACAACAACACGGGAGCGAGGTTTGAAGGAAAGATTTATGCAGGAACTTGCCCCTAAAGTGTTAAACGCTGAGCTTTTCAAACCTTTCTCCTTTAAATCAGCTCCATCTCCTAGGGCCTGGGGAAAAGCCGTTGTGGGAAAGGTCAGTTGGGTCCAGGGTCTCCGTTATTCCAGCTGTCCTAGATGTACGGAGTAACGGTCAAATGGCTGGGTCAGGCATCTGCTTATCCAGCTGGATTTGCACAAAGGCCAAAACAAATGGACAACTTTCACGTCTCTCCTACCTCCGTGGAAATAGCCCACCTGTGTAAGGAACTAGGAAGGGCTACAGTTAAATGTTTTGAGTCTCCTACTCTAGATTTTCAGTCTAGACTAGAGTGAAAACGAAGGGAAAATCACAACGTCTGTACCACTAACAGATGTTCTCGTGCTCCCCCGCAGACTGAGTTGGCTTCCTTTGGGTTTGAAAAAGAGGTGATTTTTAAAAACCCCTTTGATACGTGTTTCTGTTGTGCAGCTGATCACAGATACCTTCAGCCACCACAACAAACTGGCCCAGAAGGAGCGGAAGGAGAAAAAAGCCCGTCAGGAGGCAGAGCGGCGCGAAAAGGCAGAGCGAACCACGAAACTTGCCAAAGAAAAGCAAGAAGCAAACGAGCCGAAGATTAAGGAACTTACAGATGAGGAAGCAGAAAGGCTGCAGCTGGAAATCAGCCAGGTGAGGGTGACGTCTGGTACCGTCTGGGTCCTCTCTGTTGGCCTGTACCTAGGGTGGGTAGTGGGTGGTTGAAGTGGCTCAAGGCGTGTTCCTTTGCAGTGTCCGGACTGCCAGGCCGGTGTGCTCCAAAATTAAATCAGCCTAGGCCAAAACACTGCATTTTCATGTGTATTCTCCCATAACTCAATCTTCAACACGTGCTCCGGTGGTAGCAACACCCTCTGCTGCAGCCCTGCAGGGTGTGAGGACCAAGGGATTCTTCACCTCCTGGCTGGTACCGCTGTTCTAAGGGCTGAAAATTCACCGGGCTGTCGGGTGCAGTTCCGAATCCTGCTCTGTAGTTCCAGCTGAAGAGGCTGAGGCCACCTAGTGTCACATCAGGAAGCTGCAGAGCGTGCTGGCCCTGCCTCAGCGTGTTCGTTCTCTTTTTAAACAGAAAAAAGAGGCACAAGGACAGGTTAACAGTGTCCCAGTGAAACCCTCGGAGGATGAAGGCGAATCTTCGGATTCTAACAAACAGGTAAAGCTCATCTTGGGACTTTGAGAGAAACAGGTTTGTGGACAACCAGGAGAATACATTCAGAACACCCACTTAATTCCCAAAGATTTCAGTGTTTTGGGGTTGTCTGTTTTGTTTTCCTTTTTTTGTAACTATGTTTTAATAGAAACACCTGTTCATTTGGGGCTAAATCGGTGTGACTGTCGAACACGTGCAGCTGACCTGAAATCCTTAACAGAATTGAAGAACTGTTGTTGCAAGTGATGCACGGAACCTTGCAAAGCTGCTTTCTTTCCGCTTCGATCCGTTGCTTAGGAAACAGATGACGAAGAGGAAGACGAGAAGGATAAAGGAAAACTTAAACCCAACTCTGGCAATGGAGCTGACCTTCCAAATTACAGATGGACACAGACTCTTTCGGAACTGGATGTAAGTATTCCCATGTTGCCAGGATCTGAGGAATCCGAGATAGGGAGTAGGAGCGGAGGTGGGTGAGAATGGTGGTGCCGATGTCCCGTATCGCGGTTGCCTGTTGGTTGTACTTAATGGCAGCGTTTGAAATAGCTGGGAGAGAGCTTGGTCACTAAAGAAAATTCCCAGGGGCTGTAGTTAACTTTGGGAAACCTTGGTCTTGTTCAAACAAGACATTAACGTCTGATTGCCTTTGTGTGGTCCCTTTGAGGGGTCCCTTTGAGGTAGTGGCCACCCTGTTGCCAATCTCTGGTATCCTTTCACCTCCCACTCACTCAGTACCCCAGGGAAAATGTCACACGCTCGGTCTTACTCCGTCGAAGCCAAGGCAGAAGGTCAGGGAACAGCAGCACAAGAGGGTGAGGAGAGACTTTGCTGCTCAGCTCCTCAACATAATCTTTGTCTGGTCCAGCTGGCCATCCCTTTCAAGGTGAACTTCAGGTTGAAGGGGAAGGACGTGGTGGTGGATATCCAGAGACGGCGCCTCAGAGTTGGCCTGAAGGGCCATTCGCCTGTCATCGATGGAGAGCTTTTCAATGAGGTGAAGGTGGAGGAGAGCTCCTGGCTGATTGAAGATGGCAAAACAGTCACCCTGCACCTGGAGAAGGTAAAGCAGAATGAATCGGGGAGGATTCAGGCTTATCTGTCTTCTCCCCAGTGAAACAACCGTCTGACAATGTCCCTGGAAGCCCTGGGCTTGTCAGCTGAAACAGAAGAGCCATACTTACAATGTTGGTGATGCTGTTGGAAGCAGAATATTGCCGTTTGCCTGTTTTCAGCTTAATTTCATGCTAATCCACGATATCCAGTCGATTGCTCAGCAGTTCAGGAAAAGCTGGAAGGAAATCAGTCATTTTAAAGTCGTTCCTTAATGGAATAATGTCCTATTTTGACACCTGGTAGTGACATGAAAATGCAGGGACAGACTTTAGTGCTGCTGGTGTCCCTCCTGGGCCTCTCCAGGTGGTTGGTTTGTGATCCTGTGTATGTCATGCCAACCGTGACAGCTGACATGCTCTCCCATTTCCCAGTTGTGGAAATTCAGGCTACTTAAAACGGTTAGGAATGAAAGTTACACCCTTTATCCATGCTCTGATTTTACTGATGTGTAGAAAACTGTCAAAGTTTGATTCCAGCAGCTTTTTCCCATCACTGAGACTTAAAATTCCTAGAGCAAGTCCAGGAAAAAATAAAATATTTTTGCTCCTTCGTTCTTTCAGATCAACAAGATGGAATGGTGGAACAAACTGGTCTCCACAGACCCAGAAATCAACACCAAGAAAATCAATCCAGAGAACTCAAAGGTAAGAGCTGCCCCGGTTGTACTGAATGGAGCCTCGTAAACGTCCTCCCGTTCAGCCGGTGTCTCTTGGTTCGGCTGCTGGCGGTCCTGCTGGGAGTGATGCTGCCATGGAGCGTAGAACCTCAGAGGGAGGAAGCTGAGTCTGTAGGTTATGCCAGGCTGGATGAGGCTTGGAGCAATCTGGTTTGGTGTAAGGTGTCCCTGCCCATGGCAGGGGGTGGGGCTGGGTGGGCTTTACGCTCCCTTCCCACCCAAAGCATTCTGGGATTAGTGTCTGCACGCGTGACCCCCGCACACAGCGCAGCGTAACCTCGGTGTGCTCTGCTACCTGGGTGTCCTGATGGGTTGGGATGAGTGATTCTGATCTTGACCGAAGTCCTTGCTTTCAGCTGTCAGACCTGGACAGCGAGACCCGCAGTATGGTGGAGAAAATGATGTACGATCAGCGGCAGAAATCCATGGGCCTCCCCACCTCGGACGAACAGAAGAAGCAAGACATCTTGAAAAAGTGCGTAGACCTCTGGTTTGTGCGTTTGCTCTTCCCAAGCCCCTCTCCTCTCCCTCTCGGGCACAAACCCGCGAGCAGAAGGCAGGCTGGCCTTCACTCCTACCTCTGCTCGCATCTGCAGCGATGTAGGCATTGAACTGTTGGCCACTCGTGTCTCTAAATCCCGCACGGGTGGAAAGCCTAACGGGATATTCCAGGGATAACCTAGCTCTGGAATTGACTTAATCTGCTGATTTCAAGTCCAGAAAGCATGTTTGGGACTGGAGGTGCCATCTCTACTGAACTTTAACATAGCCTTGATTGTTTTCTAATCTCCCTCTGCTCGGTAGCGCAGATACCGCCGCTCCCTGCAGAGACCGGCCAGCGGCCTCCAGGCCAAGAGCGCTTTTATGGCTTTATTGCCCTGTTGGCTTAACGCACCTCAGCGGGGAAACGAACTCCTGGAGCTCCCAAGGCCGTTCAGGGGGGGCGCGGAGGCAATTCTGGGCCACGCAGCTTCTTCAGCAAGCGCAGACCCACGTCTTATCTCGGGGTTGGAAGGAGGGTTTAGCGTAGCGGGCCTGACTCCTTTTTTAACTGGGCTTAGCGGTAGCGGCAGGAGCTTCGCCCTGATCGGCGCGGCGTGGGCCGCGGCTGTTTCAGAGCGGAGACCCGACGTCCTTCCTGCCTGTCCGTGGGGTTAGTAGAGCGGGAGGTGGCCCTCTCCTCTGGGAAGTCTACCCGCGGGATACCTCGTTGGCAGCGTCGCGCGTCCGGCGCTCTGGCAGCCTGACGTGCGCGCGGGTCGGCCGGTAAAGGGCGGCTGGGGAAGTTTAGACTTTGCTCGGGGCAAAGGAGACTCGCTGACACCCAGGTGGATCCCGGTCTCTGCCGGTGAAGCCCTCCTGGCTGCTGAACAAGGACACGGCTCTCGCAGCACGTATATCCCTGGAGACGCTGGGGCGTTTCGGAGGGAAACCATGAGGTGAGAGGACGGAGGAGGGGGAAACCACGAGGGTGGAGGAAGACTGAAGCGCCCTTGCCCTCCGTGGGAATCCCCCACGCGATGCCGCCGTGTATCCCTGGTGAGGGAGGCAGCCGGCAGCGTCGGCGTGCCCGAGGTCGCTCCTGGGCGCGGCGTCATGTTCACTCGACTTTCGGAGGTGGCAACCCGAATCCAAACCCTGCTGTCTGCTGGGATTGCAGTGTGTTGGAAATGGGGTTGCACCTCGCCTGAAACCAGATCTCTCCGGTCGTGCCCTCGGAGTTTTCACCGGCGTGGCGCTGGAGACGCTCCCCACGTCCCCAGTAATGCTGAAGGGAACGCGTTGGAGCTTAAATCGTTATCTCCCCGCAATCTCCCCTCTGCCCCGCCGTCAGGGTCATAGCTGCTACGTGTCTGTCCGAGAGGTTACAGTTCCAAGGGTGTGTGTCTGATAATTAATGACTCCCGTGGCTCTGGACTTGCTGACCTCGATGATCGCTGATGCCGCTGCCCCGAGGAAAAAGTGTTTGTGGGATGGGGAGCGTGTCCCAGAGAGCTCCGCAAAACCATCCCTGCTGTGGGGAGTGTGGGGTGGAAGCAAGCCTGAAGTGGGGTTGCCTTCCCTCCCCCAAACAGCCGGTCTGTGACTCCTGCTGACTCGTATCCAAGCTCTCCTCTTTGTTTTCCTTGCAGGTTCATGGAACAGCACCCAGAAATGGACTTTTCCAAGGCGAAATTCAACTGAGCCCTCCCCTTCTCCCCCTGCCTCCCTTTCAGTCAGCCCATGGAATGGGGCAGGATACATATTGCCGGATAAGTAGGGATCCCTTGATCAAGTGAACTCTTCCCGCAGCCCCACCGGAGGTCATCCTCGGTTCTCCTGTGTCCAGCGGAATGCAAGGCTGGGGAATCGGCCTGCGGCAGCTCCGATCGGCCACTTCCCAAGCGGCAGTTGGGAGAGGAGGAGGGGTTAGAGCAGAAAGGGTGGGAGGGCGACGAGAGCCAGGCTTGAGCGGGTTTAGGACCGAGCCTTACTGTATCGCTTCCCTCCGGGCTCTTCAGGGCCGCTAATCCGCCACTTCACTTCGGCAGCACGCGCTCCTGAGTTTTTGCTCCTTTCCCTTTGGCTTTCCTGCTCAAACAAGGGCCGGTTTCTTTTGCAAAATAACCTGGGAAGAGAAAACACCAGTCTAAAAACCCAGCCAGCAGAGGCAGACTCTGCTCCTCCTCTGTCCCTGCGGGACAGCCCCGCAGGGCTCGCGGGAAGGATCCCGCTGTCCTGCAGCAAGGAAAGGCTGGAGACTGGCTGTGGGCAAGGGGGTGAGGATTTCGGGGGTGGGAGTCTGGGGTGTTGTTCTTGCTGGGAGTGTGTCTCCTGCCTCTTTTTTTTCCCCAAGAGCCTCTCTCCCCGCTGACGACTGACGGGCATCGCTGCGCTCTCTCCCGAGCTCCCGCCGGCAAGTGGCATTCCTCTGCATGTTCCTGTCCTTACACGACATAAAGAGAGACCCAAGTGGCGTATTTCCCGGTAGAGCGTGTGATTTCTCCCGCGGAAGGGATCCAGGCTGGGATGCGAGCTGGGGGAGGCGGCAGCGCCTGCGAAGGAGGGTGCTGGGAAGGCGAGGAGAGGCAGCGGAGCCGTGTCCCGCTCAGGGGTGCGGATGAACTCCCTGCCCAGCTCAGACTGCGCGGGAATGACCAAGGCTCCCGGCGTGACCACGCCGAGGAGGCCGCCCTTGCCCCAAGTCTCCTTTATGGCCAGCTAACGAGGAAAGGGTCACGAAAGCCTGGGCTCCTGTTGCCCCTTTACAGGCTGCCCCACATCCCCCGAAAGCCTGGCCGCCTGTTGCCCCTTTCCGGGCTGCCCCACATCCCTGCTGCTGCCGTTCGTGCCTCTGCCCCCTCGACCCCCAAAACGCTCCCACCCGCTAAGGGGGAGCGGGCACAGAGGGCTGACACAGCTGCTGGGGCAAAGTCCAGCCTGGCACTGCCCCTGGCTGTTTGGGGTTTTTTAAGAGTAGTAGGACATTGTTGGCATTTAGTCACCCCGTTTTAGAGGTTCTTGGGGTCAAAAAGCAACCCCACACCCAATTGAGTGACCTTGGGGGTGAGCAAGGGCCCAGCTTGGGGCAGCCGCCTC